CACATAGACGTCATTAATGTGTTTTAATACTGTTTGTTGAAGGAGATCCTGACTCACTCTTCATCTTCGTTCGTTATTCAAATGTGTTTATGTAACAAAACTCATAAGGATAAAAGATGGATGTTACAATAAGGTATGAACTATAATCACCATTTTTAACTAATATGTATGTGGTCGCGTTCTTTATATTAAATCTCTCATCTGTTTGTTGAGTATGTGACATGTAAAGAACTAAAGCTAGCATATTTTGTCTTCACGGTCGTCTTACTTCTTAAACGTAATTATTTTTACAAAATTAAGCGATATTTTACAACTACATTACCGACATAACAAATTAGCTAAAGCAGCATCTCGATAAAGTATGACTAAACATACATGAGAAATCATATCTTTATTGATATACCAAATTTCTAAATATTGCAATAAGCTGCATGGTAAAGGAAAGCAAAGCTTGTTCAAATGTATGGAAGAGGAAGAATAACATGATTGAATTTTCTACATGTATGACGCTGAATTTTTCTTTATAAACTATATTTGTCTATGGAAAAAGGAGGATCTGTAAAACTTTATGTGGGGAGGGGCACATGTCCCGATATGTCCCGATAATCATGCATCACCTCCTTTTTTGCCGACGCCACTTTTGACTAATCGCTGTGTGTCTAGCAAAATGTTGTTAATTGTATTGAGCAAATGTTAAATACAGGAAGAATGTATTTACACTGAGAAAGACGCAACCAAATCTATTTTTGAGAAATGTTACATGTTTGTTTAACAGTTTTAAGGTTTACTTTCATTGCATCCTTTACTGTTGTATCTACAGTGTTTTTATTGATCATAAGTAATTATAATTGCGTGCAGTTGATGTTTGCCATGTATTCATGATTTACAATGGTTTATTCAATAACAAAGGTTTTTTATAATATGAACTGATTTATGCAGGAATATACATGTATGGAATTTTTGATTATGAAAGGAAAAATCCATTTACAGTTTCGAAAATCGTGTCTTAATTATTGGCATTCAAATCCTCTCTTAGATAGGTGATTCTCTATTCCTGAAATAAAACTTGTGAAACTCTATAAGATTTAGCAGTAGTCCTTTGGAATTTGACTAATCTCAATGTTATTATGTACTTTGCATGAGGTTCTTATTTATGTATTTTTATTTCTATAACAATTGTTTTTAGTCAGTGATATATACTTAGTTATATAACTAGAATGCTCTACATAGACGTCATTAATGTGTTTTAATACTGTTTGTTGAAGGAGATCCTGACTCACTCTTCATCTTCGTTCGTTATTCAAATGTGTTTATGTAACAAAACTCTCAAGGATAAAAGATTGATGTTACATAAAGGTATGAACTATCATCACCATTTTTAATCTGATATGTATGTGGTCGCGTTGTTTATATTAAATATCTCATCTTTGTAAGGTATGTGACATGTAAGGAGCTAAAGCAAGCATAATTTTGTTCACACGGTCGTCTTACTTCTAAAACGGAAGTAATTTTAGAAAAATTAAAGGACATTGGCAACGAAAATTTTTATGGCATATTTTTGAACCTTTGTGATGTCTAACAACTAAAATAGAAAAATTTTTTCTCAAAAATATTTTGTTGCTGAGATATTTGCAGCAAAAGTTTTATAAATTGCGCCATCTTGGATAAAATTTTGAAAAAATTATCTCGAGCGGTAGTGACGTCATTGGCTGGTGAGCAGTCAAAAGAACAATACAATATACTTTGTGATTGACTGCGTTACAACACATTTAAAGCGTATTTTACGGGATTTTTTTGCTGCAATGGATGACATACACGAAAATCAACCGGGTGAGGTTCTGCCCTATTCATTAATTATTCTTACTTTATTATCGCATTTACTTCGTGATAAAAATCCAGCTTTATTTATTATTGAAAACTAATGACTAATCCAATGAATATCTCCTTGGTAACCAGATCAGTTGAATTTTAATTGACCTAGAATAACCGACTGATAAGCGGGGTGGCATGACTGGTTCGACGGATAAAGGAGTCTATGAACGCCAAAAACGCTTATTTCATTGGTCAATAGCCAGATCAGTAGACGATCTGGAATAATCTCGACTGATAAGTGGCCGGACCTATAAGGAGTCCACTTGCTATCAATTGGTTCGTTTAAATTTTGTCTTACTGTGATTGGTTTGACCTATTTCGACTGATAGCCAACTGAACTAACATAGTCAAGCTCACTGTCTGAATTGAATGTTTGATCGTTTCATAATAATTTTCTAAAGCATGATAGAAACTAAACTACAATCAGTTGGAATTTATGGAAATCTTTACAAATTCATATATTGACATGAATGCTGCTTTCCAAACTGGGAATTTTTCAAGAGGGCGAAAAATTTATGGATGAATTGTAAATGCTTGGCAAAGACGATCTCGCGAGCGACATTTCAGTCATTGATGTTCAAAAGCAAGCCAACATTGTTTTGAGTTTTATCAGCAGAAATTTACATCCAAAATCGTAAGTAAAGGACAACTGAAGTGTATGCATGAATGTAATATATCAAAGTCAATTTATGCGAGTGTGTGATGCGATTTATGTTAATATGGCGTATGGTAAGCAGATTGATGCTTCTAAAATTGTTGTTGCCGAGGACTTTTAGCTATGATTTCTTTAGTGCTTGGGAATCGTGACCGTTATATGGCAGCGAAATCCTACATTCCTGCAAATATATTTCAATGGACAAAAATCTGTAGCCATAAGGCGCCATACTATTATTTACTTTATCATAAACAAATGGGGCTTTTCAGTTTATGATCATTGATCATTCAATCATTAGACAGTTATACTACATATTGTTTAAGATTTGAGAAAACTAACATTGATTACATGAGAAGCTGTTAACTATAACCTGTGATTTTGAGTCTTCTGATCCATGAAGCTTTTTATTTTGACAATTTGACTGGAATGGTATTAAACCTGAGTATTTCACATACATGAAATGTTGTCCCATGTCACATATTGTCCCCTTTTCTAACTGAACACCTCATGCAGAGATGTAAAGGTGTGTTAATCTACGGCTCATACCAGATTGTTTACCATAAATTCCAAACGACTATTGATGTATGAAAAGCATTTTCTATAAAGTAAAAATGTCTTCCTATGTATGCAGATAAACCTTTAAATTTGGCAAAACAGCAAATATTTTTCATGATCATTAGGTAATTTTTCTGATGATCATTGTAATTTCTAAACTAATTTATTTCAGATTTACATTTAAACGAGCTTTTATCATATGAAAAGATATTTATCATAACCAGTAAGCATGACACATGAACCAATTTTAACATTCATGTAATTATATAATTAAAGACATGTTGGTTACATTCTGTTTCTATTTGATAATACAATGCTACTAGTGATTGCTATATAGCACACCTTGCAGTTCAAAGATAATAGTCAAGTGAAATGCCTAATAAACATTTATGGCATTAAGCTGTCCTTAACTGCAAATTTTTACTCTGATAATTTTTGCTTAATCTTTGGCAGAAAAAAAATTTTGAGTTTTTTCTCAAAAGGTGAATTTGCTAATACTGATGTGGAAATGGGTAAAGGGCTACAATAAACTTGCATGGTTTGAAGTCTGAGCTTTTCTATATCTATGAACTGTCACTTGTAGTACCAAATTTCTAACTTAACTCATTACATAGAGGTTTGAATGGGGGTCTCTAGGGGGGTCTATGGCTGACAACTTGGTAGAAATTTTTAAAGACTATATCTGTTTTTGAATAGCATTATTGTAAAATAAATTTTACGTTCCTAGGCATGCTAATGAGCCATATATTTGGCATGATAATGAGCCTAAATATTTGGCAAAACATTCAAGTATTGTTCACTTCATTTTTTTTTTGAAAAAAACGTAACCAAAATGTGTTGTTTTTACGCAAAAACGATGCCCACAAAATACATTTTGTGTTGCTCTAAAACGCTGAAAATGGCGTTTTCAAGGCTCTGAAATTCAAAATTTCTCAGGGGAGAATACCTCAGACCCCCCAGGTGGGAAACGCCTCCGGCGTTTTATGACTGATGTTTGAAAAATCCTAGATCCAAGTGTTCTGTTGTGCAGGATGCTAAATCACGATTCTTTTGACGACAAACGTTGCTCCATTACCACGAGTATTAAAATCAAAAAATGCTTATCCAATTCGTCTCTTCAAGACTTCAACTGAATGCGTTACAATGCATTAATCAAATGCGTCGATAAAATGCGACCATCAAAATGCGTATTGAAACAACCAGAAACAGCGTTTGCAGCCTCTATATATACTATAAACATTCAACAATATAAAATTACAAAGTTTCCTCTTTACCACGATTGAAAAGAAGGTCTTCCTCAGCAACTCAATGCTTTAAACTTCCCATGACAAATGCATGTGCGTAATTTAACATAAATAGTTCCCATTTTACCATGCTCTTACTTCTTTAGTAATGTTCATGCTTACAGAAACAGAAAGATACTTCACTCCTTTTTATTATTTATGAAAATTACTTCCCGTATACTATTTTATACTGATAAGTTTTACATCGTCCATATTATTGATAAATTGATAAAATTTAAGACAAGCCAGGTCACGTTGCCAAAAAAACTGTCCGTTGCTCATTTCTTTTGCTGTTTTTCAGTTTTTCCAATTTTTATGATCACAAAATTGTTAAAGCTACAAAGAATTCAACATAATTTATGTATTTTTTTAATGATCCTTTTATTTGTTTGAAAATGACTGACTTAAGTAGTACCAAGTATTGTCTGACTATAGCTCTTGGTCTTTGGTTTGGAAACTCAAACTTTGACAAAAAATGGCCATTTGGATCGATATTTGGATACATTTTGGCCTATTTTCTATTCTAATAATTTTTTGGAATCATATTGGTAATTTATTATAAAAGTCTCTGTAAAAACATAAATCTGGTGAGAACCATATATGGACAATGAACATGATTATTGTCTACATTTCAGCTGTATCCAGTTACAAGGAAGTAAATCAGAATGATCTCGTGATGAGCCCATCCCTTGCATTTGAATGTGTACATTACAATACGAAGAAAGACAAAATTGAAGAAATATTTCAATATAAAACTGTGAATTAACGTTGTGGAACGAAGGAATGAGTGTTGAAATGTAGAAATAGTCGTTTTGGGTCATATTTGGTGAATAAAATTTTACAAAACATTGATTTTAAACATTATTGTTTAGCTACTCGTTATATTGTATCACAGATTTACTAACGTTTTATATTTGAACTTTGATATGAGTTTTTCAGTTGGCCGTTGATTTATTTAATTTTAAATTTTCGTAACTTAACATTTTACCATTATTTTTCTTGGTTTTTAGTTTGAAGTTTAAAGAAAGGCTTCACGATTAAAACCAAAGATTCGATCTCCGTTAAAAGTAAGTTAGAGTATTTACAGCATTATATTCTAAATAAATTTCTTGTTTGAAAATGGCTTCACCACCTCAAAAACTGAAGATTGAAGCAAACGGATCTCGTTTAAGTAAACTCTTGATAAATAAAGGAACACAAGCTTTGAAAACAACATTGCAGTTTAAAATAAATTTTCGCTCGTCAAACCTAAGCGATGAACTTAATCAACCTTCAAATAAAAGTACATTGGAATCATTAAGAAAAAGAAGCGTCATTAACAAAGAGCAATGGAACCTTCTTTATCCATCAACTGGTTTGCCAAACCTTGAAAACTTTGATATCTCATTATTGACTGTCTTATTACGTAACATATGTGGTCTAACAGCGCCACATGGTGGATGGGATAATCTTCCTTCCTCTTCAGATATTTCAATCTCAGCAAATATTGCAAGAATAAAATTTTATCGAAACAAAGTGTATGGTCACATAACCACAACTAGTGTAGATGACAGTGAGTTTGAGTACTTGTGGCAGGAAATTTCAAAAGCATTGGTTGGTCTGGGTATTCAACAAACTGAAATAGATGAATTAAAGAAAGCTCCCCTCAGTCCTGATGAGGCAAACCATATTGAAATATTGAAAAACTGGTATGAAAAAGAACAACAATTAATCAATGTCGTTAAGAAAACCAACGAAAATGTAAAAGAATTAAAAGAAGAATTTGAAGCTATGAAATTTAAAGTAAAAGAAATTAAAGAAAGCATGCCAACAAAAATTGATGTAGTAGAAGTTAAACATGACATGGCAACAAAAGCTGATGTAGTAGAAATTAAGCAAGATATGGCGACAAAAGCTGATGTAGTAGAAATTAAACAAGATATGGCGACAAAAGCTGATGTAACCAGAGTGAAAGAAGTGATACAGGACAAAATATGATCAGATCTCAAGAAGCTTGGAAAGTGTAAGTTTAATGGTCTTATAAAAGATCTTAACAAGAAATACCTTGAAGGCACTAGACAATGGTTATTTGAAAAACTTGACACTTGGTTTAACGATAGAAGTGAAGATGCTTCTAATGTAATGATTTTGATTGCCGGTCCTGGTGTGGGTAAAAGTGTGTTTGCTGCTGAGGTGTGTCGACGATATTCTGAAAAGAAGAAACTTGCTGCTTCTCATTTCTGCAGATATAATAGATCAGATTATAGAAATCTTCGAGTATTGATAGAATCATTGGCTAGTAGCATGTGTGATACAATATCAAATTTTAAAAGTAAACTGAATGAAGAATTACAGAGAAACCATTCCAAAAAATCGATCACTGATAAATTTCTTGTTTTATTAAATAATTCATTGCATTCATTGCAAGATCATGAACAAATGCTTTTGGTTATTGATGCCTTAGATGAAAGCCAAACTGATGGCAAAAGTGAATTGTTGGAATTGATTTCAGAAGAGTTTGACCGACTGCCTAAATGGATTAAAATCTTCATCACCAGTCGTCCAGAACTTCCAGTTGAAAAGGAGTTGAAAGACATGAATCCTGTGGAAATTACAACTAGTCCTCGTGATAAAAACAACGAAGAAGACCTGCACAAGTATTTGAAACATGAGTTGAATGATTGTGTGCAGAGAAATCGCTACGTTCTTCATTCATTAGTTGAAAAATGTGAGGGATCATTTCTTTATGCTTATCACGCACAACTGAGCTTAAAGAAAGAAGAAATTGAGCTTACTTACAAAGACATTCAACAATTGGTCCCTAGTGGGTTAAGCGGTGTTTACACAAAGCAATTCAAAAGAGTAAAAGAATTGTTAACGGAGAAAAGTCCCAGAAATTCTGTTATCTCAGAAACTACTTTCAAGCAATTTCTTGAATTGTTGGCTGCCAATCGGAAGTTTTTACCATTAACTTTACTGTTTAGCTATTTAGGTTTTTCTGGTGACATCATGTTTGAAGTCCGCAGTAAAATCATTGAACTGTTATCTCAAATTTTGCCAGTTTACGATGATTGTTTAACCGTGTATCACAAATCTCTACTTGATTGGTTAAAATCAGATGGTTACGAACAGCATGAGTTTACAGTTAATCCAAAAAATGGTCATAAGTTCTTATGGCATGCTTGTGAGAAAGTGTTTGAACAAATTAAGTCGATGAACATTTTTGAAGATCAGATGAACACTGCTATGATTAAATATGCTTTGAAGAATGGAATCTATCATATGATAGAATGTGGCGAAAATGTTGACTTTAGTTGGGCAGTAGATGTCAAAGTGGTTTGTGCGAGGTTAATGTGTGTAAAAGACATTAACATGTATACCATTAGGTCTGAATTGTTTGAAATCATTAAGGAACTACGAACTTTCTTGAAAAAAGATGAACTTGAGGAACTACTATTTCATTTGTTTATGACAAGAAAGGTGTTATATGAGTATGATGAAAGCTTAATTTATTTACAAATTATTGCAAACAAAATTCATGGCAGTAACGAAAAAAGATTATTGGCAAGGAATTTATTGAAACAAGGAAAGCTAGTTTGGTTTGAGGATTTAGACTCAACATATTTAACAAACCATCATCATTCGACTGTCTCCTTGCGTGCTAACATTACATCTCTTTGTGTGTCGTCCAATGAAGAACTTCTTGCTGTAGGATATGAAAATGGTCAAATATCGATTTTTGAGCTTCCAGAATTTACACAAAGATGCATTCTTGGCACTGTACTTGATGTTTCAAGGCAAAAGGAAAGAAACGAGGATGACAAATTTGCGTCCCAGTGTGACATCAGTGGCTATTCAATACCAGAGATATCTTATGTTGTACGTAAAAACATCTGTTGTTGCTCCTTGTCACCTACCGGAAATAGACTGGTAACTAGTGATGGATCAACTGAAGTAAAGTTGTGGGACGTTAACAATGGACGTTTGTTATTATGTTTACAGTCAGATGATGTCGTTAATCGTTGTTCTTTCTTAAATTTTGGTTTGTACATTACAGCAGACTATGTAAAACTTTACAAGGGACTTCCTAAAGAAGTGTTCACTGCATGGAATTCATTAACTTTGCAAAGAATTGACCGACGCTGCGTTGTTGATTACCAAAAACTACAATGCACCGATAAATATTCAGAGTTCTTTGATGCAGAATTCGTCGAATTTTCGTATGTCTTTCAATTCCCAAAGGCAATCGATGTTTTTTCAAGTAAAAAGAAATATTCACTACCTTTACATTTAATGATAACACACCATTATCGTGATTGTATTTTTTATCATACAAGACAGACTGGAAAGTTTTCTGAAATCACTCAGTTAACAAAATACAACGATCAAGGAGAAATCGTGTTTCATTTACCAAATATTAAGTGTCCATGTGTTCGTAGGACTCTTAACAAAGTCCATCCAATCTCGTTTAAGGAATTTTACGTTGTGCCGTATTTTTCCAAGCTTGAAATTTTCAAAACTGGTCATCTTTGGAGACCATCATTTATCTTTGAGGAGTTTGAAATTAAATGTTGCTGTTTTTCACCGGATGGATCTTTTTTGGCTGCTTTCGCTGTTGGTGACCACGTCAACATTCATATTTGGAGCATTGAACATTGCACTATTATTCAAACTGTACCAATGCAACTGAAAGATGCATTAGGATGTTGGTGGTCGGCTGGTTCATTGTGGACATGGGATGGTTCAGATCATCTTACGAAGATATCCACTTCGTCTAAAAATTTAATAGATTCTACTCAAGCAAAGCAAGTTAACATTGGATTTAAACCTAAGGAAATCTTAACATTTGGTGATGTCTTAGTTTGTATTGACGAAGAAAAGTGTGTTCAAGTTGTTAGAATTGCAAAGGGTGAGATACAATACAACAAAAGACTTCCTGTTGATAGTTTTGAATTTAAAGCAGCAGCTGTGTCACCTGATAATTCTGTTATTTTAACTGTAAACAAAACAGAATGCACAATATGGAAATGGGGAAATAACAACAATGAAGTTTACTTGAAACCTTTGCATACTGCAGAAATACCCGAAAAGTCTTTTATTGAAAAATTTCTTCGGAGACAGAGAAATGCAACTCGTTTTAGATACCGTTGCTCTATAAGTGATATTTACCAAGCGGTCATTACATTCTCTTATAAAGAAAACAATGACTACCAGAGAACTGGCATTTATGTAATTAATGTGCATAAAAACAATGACGTGAGTACGATTTGGCATAGTATCGATGCATTCTTATGGTCAAACACAATCGTGCATAAATCATATTTAATTTGTGAAGATCATGACAAATTGGTTGCTGTAGATTTAAACAGTGGTAAAAGATGTGCTAACATTTTCAGATTAGATTCTGTATTTAATATAACTATGCATTACAACACAGGAACTTTAGCTTTAGTAACAAATGGTGGATGCAAAATTATATTTTTAAAACTCAATGTACCTGAATAAATCCACTAACTCAACCTTTTTTTAGTTATGTTACCCTATTGTATTTACTAACATTACATATCTCTTAAAACGAACATAATAAGTAAGTTCTTTATATCACAAAAGGACAGTTATTTATGGTATCAACAACGAACTCAAAAATATTGCAGAAAAAACTGTCCATATCCTTTGTTTTAACCGTGAAAAAACTGTCAGTTTTTAATTATGTAAAAATATCACGGACAGAGAGAGAGATTAGTTTTTTGTAATGTCAAGTAAAGATCTTTTTCATCCTATGATTCCCGTCAACTTTCAAATTTATATTTGGAGAATTCAACACTGTGACATTATCAAAGTTGTGATGAAATTGAGAATATCACACGAAGATGTTGATTGTAGTAAGGATGATTACCAAAAGTGAGAAACCTTTGATCTCTGAACGAACTTTATGTAAATGGTATACTTTTTAATACAAATGTATGTTCAGATAATTTGGTTATTTTTATTTTATATTAAACGTTCACTACATAGAAATGAAAGAATGTAGACAACTCATTCATTGTGAGTCATTTGACAATATGGTGGTGTTGTAGATGAAGATTATTTTGTTTAAATTATAGAATAACTTTCTTTGAACATTCTTTCAAAAACTGTAAATAAAATATTACCTTACGCATGTTAATATCGTGGAAACAAGTTCTGTATGATGTTAAAAATTCACATTTATAAAACACCATCATGATGTCATGTCATGTCATTGGGTTTTATGGTTATTTGTTGAAAAATGTGAGAGATCATTTCTTTACGTTCATTATGAAAATAAAGTGTTTAATACTGTCAACAATTCCCGTATGTAAAAACATCATGATGACGTTATGGAGTTCATTGATACATCCTTTTTGTCACGTGACTAAATGAAATGAAACATGGAAAGATGGCGGAATTCCAGTGGAATAGTAATTCATATAGATGCCTTAGAAAGGTTTTATTTTCATTCCTAAATCGTTCAGTCATGCAGAAGAACGTGAAAACAAAGAATGTGTTCCTATCTCTTGCTTTACAAAGAATTTTACTCGATAAAGACACAAAAAAGTCTCATCATTCACAACTAAAGAAAGCTTGCGAAACGGCTTTAGGTATAAATCCATAAGTAATGATTGTAGTTATTGCTGATGTATTTGGATTCTATTCGCTCTATGTTTTTATGCATTGTCAACCAGTTTCTACATTTGCTATCAACAAATCATTAAGTGTAGTAATCCCTCATTCAAGATGTCAAAGAACGCTGTCGATTGTATCTTTAAAATTGCTCAATTTACAGGGTGACCCAAAAAGATTCGTACCCATGAAAATTTCAATTATGGCTTTAAATAAAAAGCTATTTATTTAAATTACAACCACACATCATTCAGTTTATGGAAGACTATTCACAAGAGTTTCGGCTATTTCTGTCAATTTTTAGTCAATTTATGGCTTTCCCAAGATGTGTTCCAAGTGTCCACCATTTCGTTGCAAGCAAACGTGTACTCGTCTGGCAAAGTTTTGAATAACTTTTATACACTCCTCTTTCGGGATGGCTTTTATTTTTGCTGTGATGGCAGTTTTAAGTTCTTCAAATAATAATATTGTATCATATTGTACATCAATAGAGATGTCAATGTTGATGATATTGTATCATATTGCACATCAATAGACATGTCAATGTTGATATATTGTATCATATTGTACATCAATAGACATGTCAATGTTGATAATATTGTATCATATTGTACATCAATAGAGATGTCAATGTTGATAATAATGTATCATATTGTACGTCAATAGAGATGTCAATGTTGATAATATTGTATCATATTGTACATCAATAGACATGTCAATGTTGATAATATTGTATCATATTGTACGTCAATAGAGATGTCAATGTTGATAATATTATATCATATTGTACATCAATAGACATGTCAATGTTGATAATATTGTATCATGTTGTACATGAATAGACATGTCAATGTTGATAATATTGTATCATATTGTACATGAATAGACATGTCAATGTTGATAATATTGTATCATATTGTACATCAATAGACATGTCAATGTTGATAATATTGTATCATATTGTACGTCAATAGAGATGTCAATGTTGATAATATTGCATCATATTGTACATCAATAGACATGTCAATGTTGATAATATTGTATCATATTGTACATCAATAGACATGTCAATGTTGATAATATTGTATCATATTGTACATGAATAGACATGTCAATGTTGATAATATTGTATCATATTGTACAAATAGACATGTCAATGTTGATAATATTGTATCATATTGTACATCAATAGACATGTCAATGTTGATAATATTGTATCATATTGTACATGAATAGACATGTCAATGTTGATAATATTGTATCATATTGTACATCAATAGACATGTCAATGTTGATAATATTGTATCATATTGTACATGAATAGACATGTCAATGTTGATAATATTGTATCATATTGTACATAAATAGACATGTCAATGTTGATAATATTGTATCATATTGTACATCAATAGAGATGTCAATGTTGATAATATTGTATCATATTGTACATCAATAGACATGTCAATGTTGATAATATTGTATCATATTGTACATGAATAGACATGTCAATGTTGATAATATTGTATCATATTGTACATGAATAGACATGTCAATGTTGATAATATTGTATCATATTGTACATAAATAGACATGTCGATGTTGATAATATTGTATCATATTGTACATCAATAGACATGTCAATGTTGATAATATTGTATCATATTGTACATAAATAGACATGTCAATGTTGATAATATTGTATCATATTGTACATCAATAGACATGTCAATGTTGATAATATTGTATCATATTGTACATAAATAGACATGTCGATGTTGATAATATTGTATCATATTGTACATCAATAGACATGTCAATGTTGATAATATTGTATCATATTGTACATCAATATGTATCGATGTTGATAATATTGTACATAAATATGTATCGATGTTGATTATATTGTATCATATTGTACATCAATAGACATGTCAATGTTGATAATATTGTATCATATTGTACGTCAATAGACATGTCAATGTTGATAATATTGTATCATATTGTACATCAATATGTATTGATGTTGATAATATTGTACATAAATATGTATCGATGTTGATTATATTGTATCATATTGTACATCAATAGACATGTCAATGTTGATAATGTTGATAATATTGTATAATATTGTATCATATTGTTGATAATATTGTATCATATTGTATCATATTGTACAAGCTTGCCTTAATTCCTATTACACATTTACTGTGAAAATGCCACACTGTTTTTTGTTCACCTACTTATTTTGAAAATTGAAAGTTTTGTATCTCAGATAATATGAATAATCTTTTATCAGGCAAGTTTTTCTGGAACTCCATTAATGTCTGAACTGCATTAAATGTTTCCTGACCTTCATGATACTGCCATAGAGGAAGCTGTAAGAGTTTTTGATGGAGACATTGAATTGGCAGTTTCATCATTGTTGGATCACAGTAAGTACTTACATCATTATATCAAGTTCCATGTATGAGATTATCAATATATTTTGGTTGTAGCATAGACTCCATTGAGGCTGAATGGTGGTGTGAAAAGACAAATATTTTATTTTTCATTTTTTTAATAACTACCTCTAGATAATGAATGAATTAATGAGTTTATACATGCATCTTCAATTACAAAGGCAAAGAAATATTACTTAAAGAGGAGATGTCTAATTATGGTGCTGTTCATAGCGCAGACTCAGATTCAGAAAATCTTCAACAGGCAACAGCAGTTCTTCAGCAAGAAGGTACGAAGAAATTAATAGGTACATACATGCTGCTAAACACTCATAAATGCATCATAATTGCAGCATTTATCTTAATGATTTTCAAAAGAAACAAGTTGTAAATGATTTGATATAGTTTTCTTGATTGGTTAAAAATGATGCTTTGCTTCATGCATGACTTTTAGCTTGTTGTTTTAACTGGCAATATGCTCCTGCAGCACAATTTGGTCTCAATATGAACAAAGTTGAACATGCTTATTGTGATTTCTGCATGTTGTACTTAGGTGTAGAATTTGTGATATTGGTAAGCTTAGTCTAGCAAATACTTGCTAGGTTGTATTGCTACAATAATCATTTGACTGGTTTTCTATTTAAGAACAAAAGAAGACAGTCATTGAAGAGTATCGAGATGCTACAATTGTCAGTGACAGTCCAGTTTTTCAAGTTTATGTGAACCGCATGGCAAGTGACTTTGCCAATGATATTTTGGAAATTTACAAGAATCACAGTAGTAAGTTGTGTGCTCGGTTCAGTGTAAAGTTTGATAATATTTGCATCACAGCTGATTATATATTATATGTTGGAGCAGCAGTAACTTTATCTGTTTGAACAATATCAATGTCAGTAATATTTTCTTGTTTTTAAATTGGACCTTTGCTTTCTCCAAAAAAACTTAAATGTTTGACTGTTTGAGGTACTAGTTATATTAATACTATAATACCTGTCCTTTCCTAGGGGCAAATCTTAAAGATTTGTTGTCTTTTAGGACTGGGTGTGATTTACTGCCTGTAAATGGTGCAATCCTGCATCTCAAAGTTGACAGAACAAAAGATCGTAATCTGCCCTCAGAATGTAGAACTTGTTTTCATTTGTTAATTCTTCCATGTTATGAAAATTTTGATGAACTGAAAGCTAAACTGGATAGAGCTTTGCAATTTGGTTCAAGAGGATTTACGAATATTTGATCTTGGAACAGTTTATACATCTCTTTCAACAATAACATAGCTTGTTACAGCTAATATGGATGATGCACAAATTTGAAATATTTTTCTTCTTTGTTTTGGATATCATTTTTATAGTTACAGACTTAAAGTAAGTATGTTAATGTTTCATTAAATTTTGTTCTGGCAGTGCATCAGAATTTATGTGTTAAAAAACGTTTTCTGCCAAAATGTTTTAATAATCAACATGATGAAAAATTTATAGCCTTCCTTGCCATACATATCTTCTTTTGTATTATCTGAATTGACACCAACAAACAATAGGTCAAGTAGCTTTTCTTGTTTTGTGAGTTCACAATGTCACTCCTCTTCCTGGTGCAGTCTGGTATTTACAAACTGAAGCACCTCAATGTATATGTCAGCACCATTATGATTAGAATGCCTTAAAGGATTAATGGTTCTTTGCAGCTCATCAAGATCTATTTCATTCAATGGAATGTAGGTTTCTGGAACAATCACTTACTTCTGATCTGTTTCATGACATGCGTAATTTTGTGTAAAGGTGGGTGGAAATTCTTGGTTTACCTTAGTGAATTGGAACATTAAATTAGATTTTGACTTTAACATACATCAATTAGCTTTGGATCTATTCTGATGATTATAATATAAAGCGTAGTCTAAAAGTAAAGTCATGAGTTATTGCATAAAAATACCTGCTGTATATGGTCGTATTTTGACTTGTACAACCAACAAAAAGATCTTGCCAAAAGCGCTCAATCTGTTGGTTGTGGACTCTTCTTCCAATAATATGACTGACACAACAAGGGTCCTCGCAAATAGTGGTTTAACATAAATTGAGCAATTCCAACATTTTCACCTCCTTTATCTAATCCTGCATGAGTCTAATCCTGCATGAGCCACAAATCTCCATCTAAGAATATGAAACTACTAGCACATTTGTATGCAAAACTGAGATTTTTAACGCCCCAAAATAGGTATTTTTTAGTAGCCCACCTAATCAATTTGTGATTGCCATCAACATGCCAAAGTGATAAAGGGCAAGTAACATGATATTTACGTCTGTGCACTGCTCTACGAGACAAAGCACGAAACAATGTACCCTGTGGATCAACTCTTCGCATCATTTCACGAATCCTGTCCTGCTGAATTCTCAAACCTCTTGCTAACAGCAATCCTGACATACGTTTGTAGTTAAGATTGGGAAACTCGTTCGTTAAGTTTCTTATGACCAACACGAGATCTGAATCGTTAACGTCAGAATATCAATTAGAAGCTGATAAACCAAACTCGTTCATCCTCCTTTCAATGGTTCTTTTGCTGACTCCCAGAAGATTTGCCGTATCTTTCACTGTAAAACGCTTATTTAAAAAATAACGCAGAATATCTTCGTTTACTTCATACATTGGTCGCCCTGGTGTGCCACTGATAACTTGAGGGCAGTTCAATGAAGAAGATGGTTAATATCATGATGAACATCGACATTTAAGAGTTCTTTTGCGTTTGAGATTAACTGCAGAACAGCCTCTTCAAGCTCGAATACTTCAGCAAATCGCAACGTTGTATGGTAAAGAGAATCAATACGAAAAACGCAAGAATTCAGATCTGGACTTCCTTCGAGGTCAGCAATACAACCCAAAATAGAGTTGCGAAGGAGTCTTATAACCTGTCTGCCATGTTTTAGGGTTGTAGACTTGTAGGTAAAATAATTAGTTTATTTTGTTTACATTATTATCACATCAAGAAAATAAATTATAAATAAATTATAATGTGATCGAGTCAAATTGGATGTTTTGCGAGTCACGAATAATGTTACGTCATCATAATGGAATGTTCAACAACAAAATGAGTTTTAACAGAAATTGTACAGGACAAAATCCCAGGGGCGGATCTAGAGTATGTCAAATCCGTCGCGCGACTGATGTTTGAAAATCAAAAATTACCTATTCATATTAATTAAAAATTCATTAATTATTCTTACTTTATTAATTATTATCCCATTTACTTCGTGATAAAAATCCAGCTTTATTTATTATTGAAAACTAATGACTAATGCAACGAATATCTCCTTGGTAACCAGATCAGTTGAATTTTAATTGACCTGGAATAACCGAGTGATAAGCGGGGTGGCTTGACTGGTTCGACTTATAAAGGAGTCTATGAACGCCAGAAACGCTATTTTATTGGTCAATGGCCAGATCAGTGGACAGTCTGGAATAATCTCGACCGATAATAGGGGTGGCCGGACCTATAAGGGAGTCCAATTGCTATCTTACAATTGGTTCATTTGAATTTTTGTCTTACTGTGATTGGTTTGACCGATTTCGACTGATAGCCAACTGAACTAACATAGTCGAGCTCGCTGTCTGAATTGAATGTTTGATCGTTCATAGTAATTTTCTGAAGAATGATAGAAACTAAACTACAATCAGATGGAATTTATGGAAATATTTTACAAATTCATGTGTTGACATGAATGCTGCTTTCCAAACTGGGAATTTTTTCAAGAGGGTGAAAAATTTTTGGATGAATTGTCAATACTTGGCAAAGACGATCTCGCGAGCGACATTTCAGTCATTGATGTTCAAAAGCAAGCCAACATTGTTTTGAGTTTTATCAGCAGAAATTTACATCGAAAATCGTAAGTAAAGGACAAGTGAAGTGTATGCATGAATGCAATATATCAAAGTCAATTTATGCGAGTGTGTGATGCGATTTATGTTAATATGGCGTATGGTAAGCAGATTGATGCTTCTAAAATTGTTGTTGCCGAAGGACTTTTAGTTATGATTTCTTTAATGCTTGGGGAATCGTGGCCGTTATATGGCAACGAAATCCTACATTTCTGCAAATATATTTCAATGGACAAAAAATCTGTAGCCATAAGGTGCCATACTATTATTTACTTTATCATAAACAAATGTTTGGGGCTTTTCAGTTTATGATCATTGATCATTCAATCATTGGACAGTTATACTACATATTGTTTAAGATTTGAGAAAACTAACATTGATTACATGAGAAGCTGTTTACTATAACCTGTGATTTTGAGTCTTATGATCCATGAAGCTTTTTATTTTGACAATTTGACTGGAATGGTATTAAACCTGAGTATTTCACATACATGAAATGTTGTCCCATGTCATATATTGTCCCTTTTCTAACTGAACACCTCATGTAGAGATGTAAAGGTGTGTTAATCTACGGCTCATACCAGATTGTTTGCCATAAATTCCAAAGGGCTATTGATGTATGAATAGCATTTTCTATAAAGTAAAAATGTCTTCCAATGTATGCAGATAAACCTTGAAATTTGGCAAAACAGCAAAGTATTTTTCATGATCACTAGGTAATTTTTCTGATGATCAGTATAATTTCTAAACTAAATTATTTCAGATTTACATTTAAACGAGCTTTGATCATATGAAAAGATATTTATCATAACCAGTAAGCACATGAACCAATTTTGACATTCATGTAATTATATAATTAAAGACATGTTGGTTACATTCTGTTTGTATTTGCAAATACAATGCTACTAGTGATTGCTATATAGCACACCTTGCATATTATTACAGAAGATAATAGTCTAGTGAAATGCCTAAGAAACATTCATGGCATTAAGCTGTCCTTAACTGCAATTTTTCACTTTGATAATTTACTTAATCTTTGACAGAAAAAAATTTTGAGTTTTTTCTCAAAACGTGAATTTGCTGGCTCTGATGTGGAGATGGGTAAAGGGTTACAGTAAACTTGCATGGTTTGAAGTCTGAGCTTTTCTATATTTATGAACTGTCACTTTTAGTACCAAATTTCTAACTTAACTTATTACATAGAGGTTTGAATGGGGATCTCTAGGGGGGTCTATGCCTGACAACTTGGTAGAAATTTTTAAAGACTATATCTGTTTTTGAATAGCATTATTGTAAAATAAATTTTACGTTCCTAGACATGCTAATGAGCCATATATTTGGCATGATAATGAGCCTAAATATTTGGCAAAACATTCAAGTATTGTTCACTTCATTTTTTTTTTTGAAAAAAGCGTAAGCAAAATGTGTTTTTTTACCGAAAAACGATGCCCACAAAATACATCTTGTATTCCTCTAAAACGCTGAAAATGGCATTTTAGAGGTTCTGAAATTCAAAATTTCTCAGGGGAGAATGCCTCAGACCCCCCCGGCGCGGTGTGCCTCCGATGTTTTATGACTGATGTTTGAAAAATCCTAGATCCGCCCCTGCAAAATCCGATTATAAAATTCCAGAATGGAATATGATCACAAGAAAATGCACATTGCAAAGGACAAAATGCGCATAAATAATTGAAAACATAGCTATTAATTTTGACGGAGATCACCCTCCATAAGTTTGTGATAGAGCTTTTTGTTATCTTATGCTTCAAAAAATTCATTCGAATACCGAAATAAATATAAAAACAAGTCCTGTCCAAGTTTCCACATCATTGCCTAGAAGTCAATCATCTTTAAAAAATGAGTTGATGTAACTCAATTTCTCACGCACAATTCACCACGACACGATGTCCTTTGGCGTAATTTTAACTATAATTATAGGTTATCGCATAATTTTGATTATAATTATCCGACAGCCGATAAATTTAAATATAAACCCATCAATGTGTCCATGAAAATGTAAAGCCATACGGCTTCAGATTATTTTACTAGGTGTATTTAGGGCGTGGATTCAAAACTTTCTTCTTATTAGTCTGTTTCCTCGTCGAGGTCTCGTTGCTTCAAGGTCGATTTCTTTGAGCATAGTTTGAAAAGTCAAATAACGTACTAGCACGTTATACTTAGATTGCAAAAGACTCCAATAGCTCTATATCCAATCATAATACTGCATTCATTAAGTTCTCGTAAAATATATTGTCTGATACGATCTTCATTAACAACATTCCTGCGTCAACGCAACACGTACAGTTTCAACTTATTTAAAAGAGCACTACTTGAATTAGAAATGCTATGGAATTTATCGAGTAAACTCAAAATAGTTTACTTCTGGTTGCATTCGTGTATTTCTGTTTGTGTTGTGCTTCTGTGCATGCATAAAATAAACTTTTGTAAAGTTAAGTAATGGAAGCAGTTGTTTCTATGCAGTAAACGTCCGAAGCATGTTGGAATTTAGCAAATATGGAAGGACGTTTGAAAACGTGAGACTCTATCGTTAGAGATTAGACTTTAAATTGATATTGGTGAAACATAGTGTGTCTTTGTCGTAGACTCGTAGTGCAACACTTTGTTACTAACCAATGCTAACTCACAGTTACGTATTTACAACAATGAGATGGATGTTTGTAACGTTAGTAACGTCAAGTTTTGAAAAAGTAACAAATGTTTAATTTATGCACGCCGCATGATCAATTACAAACGTGTAATGAATGAGTTAGTGATCAAGAACTACTTGTATAAGAGTTTGTATGCACTTCGTTTACCAGAAGTAATCTCAACTTGAAGGTGTAAAATGACCACGACAAACAACATGGTACATGTGCCAATTCTTCAATCCCGGACGAAAATCCTAAAATCGACACCCCACTAAAATTGTAATGTCAACATAGTTCTAACTTTAAAAAACAAAAAGAAATAACTTTTCTGAAGTTCTTGACATGTTTAGAAGGTTCACTTTAGTGGTGGTCATGGGAGGAAAAACTTTTCATAACATCAATATTTACTGAGAAAATTACTATGTACCATCTCTGGTCAAATGTAAAGTTTGCATAAATTAACCAATATTCTTGGCAGAGATTGAATTTTCATATTTTCAAAGAAAAAATCACATGAGATGAAAAAGAAAATTCAACCACAATATAGAGAACATACAGTAGAGCCACTCTATTGAATTTTTTCTTGCCACACGTATCTTATTACGCATGTGACTACCATATTGGCAGCCAGTAAATTGTATTGTGTGACCAATGGGAATGACGATATGGCAAAGGGCAGCCAGTAAACTAAGAGCCTGATCACATGAACCAGGTAACAGGGATTCTGCAAGGCGTACAATGATTTTAAGTCATTGAAAAGAGTTAAAGCTTTAAGCGCAAAATTTACAACCTTTTCTTAAGCGTCATAAGTCATTTTAGTCGTAATTTTCAAATCAAGCTAAATTATTTGTCTTCATTTTAAAGGTTTTGTGAATTTCCAAATTCATAGTACAGAGAAATTACTCAAATAAGATTTTTGTTGTGAAGTATTTAATCTTTTCCATTTTCCAAAATGTTTTAACGCTTTGCTGAATCCCGGCTACCGGGCTCATGTGAACAGCCCTAATTTAATATACAGCACCCAGTTGCACAGCGAAGTGGCCCTACTGTATATTCCTATACTGTGATTTAACTCACTCTAAGCATTTACTTTTTGAATTGTAAATGCGCTTTGTGGGTGTTTTTTCCCTTACTGGTATCACTAATCTTTTAAATTTGCCTACTGAGACTCAACTACAATGTGTTTCTCATCGTTACTACACATCTGAGATAGGCATTATCTTATTTTCATTACATTCTTTACTCTTGTGTCTGCAGTGTTTTTTTATCACAAGTAATTACAATTCTGTGTAGTTGGAGTTTGAAAATTATTCATAATTTGCAATGGTTTATTAAATAACAAATGTTCTTTATAATATGAAATGACTCATGCAATAATCTATGTAAAAAAAATGATACAACTGACGCGATCTACATGATACCATGTAAAGACTGTTCAAAGCAATACATAGGACAAACATCAAACAAAATCGAAACAAGACTCACAGAACACAAAAACGCCATAAAACGATGAGATCCGAACACACTGCCGGCAGAACATACCCACGGAAACAACCAAACATTCGAATGGACAGAAACTAAAGTACTCGGAGGTGCACAGACTAAACACGCACGCGAATTTAAAGAAGCTTGGTACAGTAAGACAACGACACAATAAACAGACATATCGACGTACCCATCATATACTCACAACTACAGGAAAAGGACAAAAAAAACTACAAACAGCACCAAAACTACAACATTACACTCTAATAACATTAACACCGATCATATTCACAATACACCAAAACCCATGGCAACGCATTTCACCCCATCCAATCACATTAATCCACCCGCTAATCCAATTAGACGCTCTAAGCGTCTACAAGCTAAAGGCACATGTAAATAGATAATTTACTCATTCTGACGAAGGCTCTAAGCAACGAGTCGAAAGCTCAATAAAGTAATTTTTAAACAATTCGGGGAAACTTTCATTTTTTATGTATTAAATACCTGAATTACCAATTTTTAAACTTAATAATCTATTTGTATGGAATTTTGATTAATGAAATGAAAGAAACGTTTGCATTTTCGAAAATCGTGTCTTAAGCATTGACATTCAAATCCTGTCTTAGATAGTTGACCCTCAACTCCTGTGTTAAAACTTGTGAAACTTTATTACATTTAGCACGAGTCCTTTGGAATTTGACTAATCTCATTGTTATCAATGTATTTTTATTTCTATAACAATTGTTTTTAGTCAATGATGTATACTTAGTTATATAACTGAGATGTTCTAGATAGACAAACTATAGGGAACATACAGTAGAGCCACTTTATTGAAATTTTTCGTGACACACATATCTTATTACGCTTGTGGTTACCATAGTGGCAGCCAGTCAATTGCTTTTTTGACGAATAGGAATGATGAAATGTCTAACGGCAGCCAGTAATCTAATTGAATATACAGCAGCCACTTGTACAGCGAAGTGGACCTACTGTATATTCCCTATACTGTGACATAGATGTCATTAATGTTTCATAATATTGTTTGTTGAAATAGATCCTGACTCACTCTTCATCTTCGTTCGTTATTTAAATGTGTTTATGTAACAAAACTCACATGGATAAAAAATTAATGTTACAATAAGGTATGAACTATGATCACCATTTTTAACTGATATGTATGTAGTCGCGTTGTTTATATTAAATCTCTCATCCTTGTAAGATATGTGACATGTAAACACTAAAGCAAGCATAATTTTGTTCACACGGTCGTCCTGCTTCTAAAACGAAGGTAATTTAGAAAAATTAAGCGATATTTTAGAACTACATTACCGACATAACCAATTAGCTAAAGCAGCGTCTTGATAAAATATGACTAAACATTCTCATATGAGAAATCATATGAGAATGTTGAATGTTGAAATGTTGAACACAGGAAGAATGTATCTACACAGAGAAAAAACGCAACTGAATCTATTTTTGTGAAATGTTGATTCATGCAACAAAGTGACCATTTAAAATTATACTTTTGATCATGTTAGTTTAACAGTTTTAAGGTTTGCTTTTATTGCATCTTTTACTGTTGTATCTACAGTGTCTTTATTGATCATAAGTAATTATAATTGCGTGCAGTTGATGTTTGAAATGTATTCATAATTTACAATGGTTTATTCAATAACAAAGGTTGTTTATAATAAGAACTGATTTATGCAAGAATATACATGTTTGGAATTTTTGATTGATGAAAGGAAAAATCGATTCACAGTTTCGAAAGTCGTGTCGTAATCATTGGCATTCAATTCCTGTCTTAGATAGGTGATTCTCTATTCCTGAGTTAAAACTTGTGCAATTTTATAAGATTTAGCAGTAGTCCTTTGAAATTTGACAAATCTCAATGTTATTATGTACTCCGCATGTGGTTCTTATTTATGTATTTTTATTTCTATAACAATGGATTTTAGTCAGTGATGTATACTTGGTTATATAACTTGAATGTTCTACATAGATGTCATTAATGTGTTTTAATACTGTTTGTTGAAGGAGATCCTGACTCACTCTTCATCTTCGTTCGTTATTCAAATGTGTTTATGTGACAATACTCACAAGGATAAAAGATTAATGTTACAATAAGGTATGAACTTTCATCACCATTTTTAATCTGATATGTATGTGGTTGCGTTCTTTATATTAAATCTCTTATCTTTGTAAGGTATGTGACATGTAAAGAACTAAAGCAAGCATATTTTGTCTTCACGGTCGTCTTACTTCTAAAACGGAAGTAATTTTAGAAAAATTAAGCGATATTTTAGAACTGCATTACCGACATACAAATTAGCTAAAGCAGCATTTCGATAAAGTATGACTAAACATGCATGAGAAATCATATCTTAATTGATATACCAACTTTCTAACTATTGACAATAAGCTGCATGGTAAAGGAAAGCAAAGCCTGTTCAAAAGTATGGGGAAGAAGAATAACATGAGAACATTTTCTACATGTAGGACGTTGAATTTTTCTTTATAAACTATATTTGCTTTTGGAAAAAGTGATGAGGTGAAATTTAAGTAGGGGGACAAGCATGTCCAACAAATGTGCAAAATAATGAAATGTCAAACACGGGAAGAACATATATGCACAGAGAAAGAACGCGACAGAATCTACTTTTTGTGAAATGTTGATTCATGCAACAAAGTGAGCTTTTAAAATTATACGTTTGATCATGTTTGTTTAACAGTTTTAAGGTTTACTTGCATTGCATCCTTTACTGTTGTATCTACAGTGTCTTTATTGATCATAAGTAATTATAATTGCGTGCAGTTGATGTTTGTCATGTATTCATAATTTGCAATGCTTTATTCAATAACAAAGGTTTTTTATAATAAGAACTGACTTATGCAAGAATATACATGTATCGAGTTTTTGATTAATGAAGGGAAAATCCATTTACAGTATCGAAAATTGTGTCTTATTCATTGATATTCAAATCCTGTCTTAAATAGGTGATTCTCTATTCCTGAGTTATAACTTGCGAAACTTTATAAGATTTATTAAAAGTCCTTTGGAACTTGACTAAACTCAATGTTATTATGTACTCTGCATGAGGTTCTTATTTATGTATTTTTATTTCTATAACAATTGTTTTTAGTCAGTGATGTATATTTAGTTATAGAATAATAATGTTTCTTGAGGGAGATCCTGACTCACTCTTCATCTTCGTTCGATATTTAAATGTGTTTTTGTAACAAAACTCATATGGATAAAAAGTGATATGTATGTAGTCGCGTTTTTTATATTAAATTTATCATCTTTTGTTAGGTACATAACATGTAAAGAACTAAAGCAAGCATAATTTTGTCCACACGATCGTCGTATATGAAGTCTTATTTCTAAAACAAAGGTAATTTTACGTAAGTTAACCGAGATTTTGTATTTACATTTCTAACTTAACAAATTTGATACCGAAGCATTGCGTAGTATAAAGTATGACTACAAACAAATCAATGTTTATTTCCATTCCAAATGAAAATCGTTTGAATGATTTTATAAGTGACTTTTAAAGCTATATTTAATACCAGGAATGGAAAGTAGGTTTCATTTTTTGTTTCAAATTATCCAGTATAAAAGTTGCTTCTCTTACACGAAGAAAAGTTTTGATAATGTTCAAGTGGTCAAAATAAACGTCAGATAACGTACATATTTCATCATCATTCATTTTGCACGTAATTTATTCTTAGATGAACTTTGATTTAGCATGTACACTGAGAAACTGAAATCAAGATACTTGTTTTGTTTTCCAACGTGTCTAACTGCTTTAGTTACTTGAATTAAATCGTGTAACAACACAAAGTCGAGAAATTTCACTGACTGTCAGGCCAGGCCCGCCGTGAGGTGATAGGTAAGGGGGCATTTTGCCTTGGGTCAGTAATATAATAGGGGCCAGCACCTCCCCATTTGGACGCATGAAAATTGCAAAATTGAAGTTTACAGAAAAAGTAATGAATGATTTGTGTATCATTTGTACTTTTTTTTACGTTATCTCATAATACAGAAGACATTCATCAATTGTTAAGTTTTTAGAAATTCTTGTAGTATCTCCAAACGGAGTCACGCTTTAAGTGTTATCAATATGAGCAGGCATGTGGCTAAGATGTAAAATTTGGGGTGGCAACAACATTTTTTTTGGGAGGGGGCCAGTTGTAGTTGTCAAGTTATACTGTGTTATAGCAATAATATAATTTATCACTAGCTAGTTTTTGTGGGTAGCCGCTGTGCATGCGCGGCTAACCACTATGCCATACTGAAAAAGTGTCTGAGTGAGGCAGGCAGTATTTGTTCGTCGTGATATCCTCAGCTGTGTCATCGGTGATAGTCGCATATACGAACGATGACGAATAGAATTGTTTTAAGTAAAGTCAATACTTATGTTGTTCTTTAATTACCTATGCTTTAGAGCGTATAATCTGCACTTTGTTTTAGTGACTATAGTCAAAACCTTGCAGCTGAAAATATCATTCATTTATACGCTTTACTGGTGATTACAGACGTCAAATATATCTCGTTTGGGCAAAAAATACAAGGAAATTTATACTCTGTGCAGTCCGCACTTTTATTTTGTTCGGTATTTTATTCATATGTCGCGTTATTTATCTCTCACCCTGTGTTCTGTGTTTTGGTGAGGAATATGTATAGGATATAGTTTTCTTTATTTTCATTTCAATTTGTAATGATGACGATTTGGATTTAACAGATTGTCAAAAATGACGAAGAATTTAAATATATGATTAGAGTCAAGCTATGGACCAATGGGGGACTACTGCAGTTTAGACACCTTGGACGCTGACCCAAGCCCTACCCTATAATCCCTAGGAAAAACGAGCCCACGTTCACAAGCGCTTTGGGTGTCTGCTAAACTGCAATCTAGCAAAAATTTAAATTGGAACAGAAACATCAGCAATATAGTCCTATCAAAATGTTAATAAGCAAATATTCATACAACACAGCAAACCAGTTTTTTATATCCTGTTAAAAGAACGATGTATCTCTTCACCACACGATTGTTAGACAAATAAAATACATTATTTATTAACTAGGAGTTACTATCGAAAGGTATATGCTGCCGTGACAAGTAGGGGAAAATATTATCACTTGAAGTGTTTTTTCATTGTATCAAGTCTACGATTTTAATGCCTTGATGTAAGATCAATTACTGGGTCATGTCACTAGGCAGTGACCACAATTTTTATCAAGAGAAAGAAATGAAGCACACAAGTCTTTATAAATGACTTGTAGTAATATTTTTAATTTATCGTTTTAACTTTTGTGAACATTTTGTGAATTTTAAATTATACCTTTTTTCACAAACTCATTCCTCTTTTGAAGAATAAAAAATGGCTTCGTCGCCTAACAAATTAATGATTGAGGAAAATGGATCTCGTTTGAGTAAACTTTTAATCAATAAAGGAACCCGAGCCTTAAAAACAACATTGCAATCTTTATTAAAGCCATCAAGTTTAGCTGGTAAACTTAAAGATCCCTCTACAAAGAAGACACTAACATCTTTAAAATTTAATGTCATCAGCAAAGAGCAATGGAACCTTCTTTACCCGTCAACTGGCTCACCTGACGTTGAAAACTTTGATATTTCATTATTGACTGTCTTGTTACGTAACTTATGTGGTCTAACAGCGCCGCATGGAGGATGGAATAGTATTCCTTCCTCTTCAGATACTTCAATCTCAGCAAATATTGCAAGAATAAAGTTTTATCGAAACAAAGTGTACGGTCACATAACAAATACTAGTGTAGATGATAGTAAGTTTGAGCATTTGTGGAATGAAATCTCAAAAGCTTTGGTTGGTCTAGGTATTCAACAAACTGAAATAGATGAATTAAAGAAAGCTCCCCTCAGTCACGATGAAGCAAATTATATTGAAATGTTAAAAAACTGGTGTACTGTTGCTGAGAAAACAAAAGAAGATGTGGAAGATATAAAAAATGACGTGGAGGAAATTAAAGAAATTGTGTCAACAAAAGCTGATGTAGCTGAAATTACACAAGAGATGGCAACAAAAGCTGATGTAGCTGAAATTACACAAGAGATGGCAACAAAAGCTGATGTAGCTGAAATTACACAAGTGATGGCAACAAAAGCTGATGTTGTTGGAGTAAGAGAAATGATACAGGACAAAATATGCTCAGATCTTCAGAAGCTTGGAAAGTGTAATTTCAACGGTGTTGTAAAAAATCTTAACAAAAAATACCTTGAAGGGACTAGACAATGGTTATTCGAAAAACTCGACACGTGGTTTAACGATAGAAGTGAAGATGCTTCTAATGTCATGATTTTGATTGCCGGTCCTGGCGTTGGTAAAAGTGTGTTTGCTGCTGAGTTGTGTCGACGATATTCTGAAAAGAAGAAACTTGCTGCTTGTCATTTCTGCAGATATAATATATCAGATTACAGAAATCCTCGAATATTGATAGAATCATTGGCTAGTACCATGTGTGATACAATACCAAATTTTAAAAGTAAACTGAATGAGGAATTACAGAGAAATCATTCCAAAGAATCGATCACCGATAAATTCTTTGTTTTATTAAATAATCCATTGCATTCATTGGAAGATCATGAACCAATGCTTTTGGTTATTGATGCCTTAGATGAAAGCCAAATTGATGGCAAAAGTGAATTGTTGGAATTGATTTCAGAAGAGTTTGACCGACTGCCTAAATGGATTAAAATCTTCATAACCAGTCGTCCAGAGCTTCCTGTTCAAAAGGAGTTGAAAGATATGAATCCTGTGGAAATTACAACAAAACCTCGTGATAAAAACAACGAAAAAGACCTGCACAAGTATTTGAGACATCAGTTGAATAATCGTGTGCAGAGAAATCGCTACGTTCTTCAGTCATTAGTTAAAAATGTGAGGGATCATTTCTTTATGCGTATTACGCACAACTGAGCTTGAATAAAGAAAAATATTGAGCTTACTTACGAAAACATTCAACAATTGGTCCCTAGTGGGTTAAGCAGTGTTTACACAAAGCAATTCAAAGAGTAAAAGATTTAACGAAAGAAAGTCCAAAATTCTGTTATCTCAGAAACTACTTTTATGCAATTTCTTGAATTGTTGGCTGCCTGTCGGGAGTTTTTACCATTAACTTTAATGTTTAGCTGTTTAAGTTTTTCTGGTGACATCATGTTTGAAGTCCGCAGTAAAATCATTGAAGTGTTATCTCAAATTTTGCCAGTTTACGATGATTGTTTAACCGTGTATCACAAATCTCTAATTGATTGGTTGAAATCAGATGGTTACGAACAGCATGAGTTTACAGTTGATCCAAAAAATGGTCATAAGTTCTTATGGCATGCTTGTGAGAAAGTGTTTAAACACATTAAGTCGATGAACATTTTAAAGATCAGATGAACACTGCTATGATTAAATATGCTTTGAAGAATGGAGTCCATCATATGATAGAATGTGGCGAAAATGTTGACTTTAGCTGGGCAGTAGATGTCAAAGTGGTTTGTGCGAGGTTAATGTGTGGGGAAGACATTGACATGTATACCATTAGTTCTGAATTGCGTGAAATCATTAAGGAACTACGAACTTTCTTGAGAAAAGATGTACTTGAGGAACTACTATTTCATTTGTTAATGATAATGAAATGAGTCATAAGTTTGATAAAAGCTTAATTTATTTACAAATTATTGCAAACAGAATTCATGGCAGTAACGAAAAAGATTATTGGCAAGGGATTTATTGAAACAAGGAAAGTTTGTTTGGTTTGAGGATTTAGACTCAACATATTTAACAAACCATCATCATTTGACTGTCTCCTTGCGTGCTAACGTTACATCTCTTTGTGTGTCGTCCAATGAAGAACTTCTTGCTGTAGGATATGAAAATGGTCAAATATCTATTTTGAACTTCCTGAATTCGAACAACGATGCACTCTTGGCACTGCACTTGATGATTCAAGGTTGGATAAGTGGGATGATGTAAATGATGTATTTATGTCCCTATATGACATTATTACTATCCATTAATAGAAATTTTGTTTTGTACGTGGAAACATCTGTTGTTGCTCCTTTTCACCTACCGGAAATAGACTGGTAACTAGTGATGGATCTACTGAAGTAAAGTTGTGGGACGTTAACAATGGACGTTTGTTATTATGTTTACAGTCAGATGATGTCGTTAATCGTTGCTCTTTCTTAGATTCTGGTTTGTTTATTACATATGTAAAATATTACAAGGACTTCCTAAAGATGTGTTCACTGCATGGAATTCATTAACTTTGCAAAGAATCGATCGACGCTGCGTTGTTGATTACCAAAACTACAATGCACCGATAAATATTCAGAGTTCTTTGTTGCAGAATTCGTCGAGACTTCGTATGTTTTCAATTCCCAAAGGCAATCGATATTTTTCAAGTAAAAAAATTCACTATTTACATTTAATGATAACACACCATTATCGTGATTGTATTTTTATCATACAAGCCAGAATGGAAAGCTTTCTGAAATCACTCAGTTGACAAAATACAACGATCAAGGAGAAATCGAGTTTTGTTTACCACATGTTAGGTGTCCATGTGTTGATAGGAATCTTAACAAAGTCCATCCCATCTCGTTTAAGGAATTTTACGTTGTGCCGTGTTTTTCGAAGCTTAACATTTTCAAAACTGATCATCTTTGTAGACCTTCATTTATCTTTGAGGAATTTAAAATTAAATGTTGTTGTTTTTCACCGGATGGATCTTTTTTGGCTGCTTTCGTTGTTGGTGACCACGTCAACATTTATATTTGGAGCATTGAACGTTGCACTATTATTCAAACTGTACCAATGCAACTGAAGAATGCATTAGGATGTTGGTGGTCAGATGGTTTACTGTGGATATGGGATGGTTCTGATCATCTTATGAAGATATCAACTTCGTCTGAAAATTTTGTAGATTCTACTCAAGCAAAGCATGTTAACATTGGATTTAAACCTAAGAAATCTTAACATTTGGTGATGTCTTAGTTTGTATTGACAGTAAAGGTTTTTTCAAGTTGTTAGAATTACCAAGGGTGAGATACAATACAACAAAAGACTTCCTGTCGATAGTTCACAATTTAAAGCAGCAGCTGTATCACCTGATAATTCTGTTATTTTAACTGTAAACAAAACAGAATACACATTATGGAAATGGGGAAATAACAACAATGAACTTTACTTGAAACCTTGGCATACTGCAGAAATACCCATAACGTCTTTGATGAAAAATTTTTTCAGAAACAGATAAATGTTAACTGTCTTCAAGTCCGTTGCTTTATAAGTGATAGTAACCAAGCGGTCATTCAATGTGCGACTAAACTCGGCCTTTACAAAGTGGCACTGGCATTTATGTAATTAATATGCTTAAAACAATGACGTGAGTGCGATTTGGCATTGTATCCGTGGATATTTTTGGTCTAGCACAATCGTACATAAATCATATTTCATTTGTTGCTGAATATCATTTTTCAACAAATTGTTGCTGTAGATTTAAAGAGTGGTAAAAAAAGCAGTTTTTTTGACGAAAAAAATTATTTGAAGTTTGTTATAACTACGCATTCCAACACAGGAACTTTAGCTTTAGTAGCAGATAATGGATACGGAATTAAATTTTTAAAACTTAATGTTCCTGAATGAATCCACTAATTCAACCTTTGTAGTTATATTAACCTATCGTATTTACTAACGTTACATATCACTTAAAATGAACATAAAAAGTTCTTTATATCACAAAAGGACAGTTATTTATGGTATCAACAACGAACTCAAAAATATTGCAGAAAAAATTGTCCATATTCTTTGTTTTAACCGTGGAAAAACTGTCAGTTATGGTGCTGTTGTTTATGAAGATTATTTTGTTTAAATTAAAGAGTGACTTTCTTTAAACATTCTTTCAAAAACTGTGAATAAAATTTACCTTACGCATGTTAATATCGTGGAAACAAGTTTTGTATGATGTTAAAAATTTACATTTATAAAACACAATCATGATGTTATATCATGTCATTGGATTTTATTGTCATTAGTTAAAAAATGTGAAAGATCATTTTTGTACGTTTATTATGTACATATGACCTTAAAGACAGAAAATGTTATATACTGTCAACCATTCCCGTATGTAAAAACATCATCATGACGTCATGTCAATCACTGTGATGAAAATAAATATAACTCTTACGTTTTTGACATAAGTTTATTTGAACTGAAGAATTGAATTTTTTCGAGTAAAATTTTTTAGTTAAAATATTGAAGAGTGATAAACTTCACTTTCTATTTTCAATTTTTAGAATAAAATTCATCATTATAATGTTGAAGTTAATACAACGTACAATATAGAGCTATACTTCTAACTTGCAACAATTGTACACAACAATAAACGTTTTACTGATAATTTTGAAGATCCATGTGCTTTAAACACTCCAATGTAACAGTTTTTTCAGGTTCTAAGTTTGGGTCGTCTTATAAAAAACAGGTACGTATAGCGTACATTTTGTTGTCTTTTAATGGTTAGTAAACAACTAAGCTAAACATTTTAGTTTTTCAAAATAAACACGTTTTAACATCTCGTGATGTCATCTTCAGTATTAGTGACAACATTATGTATATGATACAACATATATCGTAGTAATGTGATACAGTGATAGTTTATTTAAATATAAGTAGCGTATATACAGTAAAACATTGGATGAATTAATGATAAATGTGTTTACAAGTTTTTCTTACTTTACAAAAGGGAAGGGATAACTAAGGACAGAGTAACAAAATTAGGGCAACCTCTCGAGCAGGTGCAACTCTAACCTTTGGTCTCCGGCTTGCACTGATCTGCTTTTGAGTTCTCCCAAAGTCCTCCTCGGTTTGCATAGGCCTGTGGAAAAACATGAAACATCTTTTGTTTTTTAATTGCATGATCATGTTACATTGAGGCTTCATTTGACAAAATTTAAGGCTTTGGCTGCGTTTACACTATATACCAGATTTGCTCATCAAAATATCTTCATTTGGTTACAAGAGGTAACAGTTTGGACTAAATGCTTATTAAGTTGATAGATTTTAACCAATTTAATTGTGTTTTTATGCATTTAACAATATCACTAACTTTTAATACATAGAAAATTTAACCTGCAACGATAGCAATTCTATACAGTAAACAGGGCCTTATTTTAGTTCACAAATGTAAAGTTCGATGTTTGAAACGGGCTATAAAATTTTGTTCAAAGACGTTAGAGGATTAATTATGGTATGTCTAAAAGGTCATATGCACCTCGAGGCAATAAAAATTAAAAATTTTATCGTGACGTCAATTTCAGAATTGTTAAAGTATTTAAATTCGTATGCGTTTACTTTACCGTCAGTCAAGTCGCTTTAACTTTATAGAGAGGAAATGTAAGTACTGTGTATTTACTGGCGAACAGGTCTTGTTAAGAAATATATGAAAGAAATTAACAGGTCTTGTTAAAACTTTCGTAATGTGAAGGATTTTACTATTCGCGACTAAAAGGCTTAAATTTAGAGTGGGAAATATGTTCAGAAAGGATGTCCATGACGTCTGTACTGTATTGATTAAGTGTTGAGGTTACACCACAAATGGAATGATAAAAAGTTATTAAAAGAACATTGTATTAACATGTATGAACATTTATGTTGGACTATGAAGACTGACTACATTCTACAAATATGGAAAAGAGGCAATTGCAAAAGGGGAGAATGGAGAAACATGATCCAGGTTGTAAAGTTTATAGTTAGAGTTTACAACTTTTAAATTTAGTTTGCATGTGTATGAGGTTATTATGAAGGATCACGGAGGTCTATTTTTACAATTTGAAGATGAATAAAAAATAGCATCTTTAAACTAGGATTTTGTGATTAAATCTTTCAATTTTTTGTTATCAATATAAGAGGTCAAGTGCTGCAAGTAAATAGTTGGTTTTCACTCGTTATTTTTTTGAAATGCATACTAAAATATTTCAGTTTCTAAAGAAACATTACAACACAATAGTCTATTTTAAAAGCGTTCATTGAATTTCTAAGAGAAGAAAATGTCGCTAAGTAATTGCACGACGCAAAAAGAACTTGCGATCAACAAAAAGAAAGAGACACCATGTAACAGGAGTCAGATTGAAAAGAAAAATTTTAAACTACGACTTTATTTGAAACTGAATCAAAGGTTTTACCAAAATCAAAGGAGACCACTCGAACAAAATCTGTATGCTCGTTCAACCATTTTAACCAAAGATACCAACGTTTGAAACCCTTAAAACTTAACTAACATATGTTACTGAAAGTACTTAACAAAAACGGAAAATGCCAAATAAGAAATTAATTTAACCTCATCAAAGGAGCCTTACTTATCTTTTCTTACATGAAGTACGCCTACTCAATGTTTCCTGTTTCCAGTTTGTTATTTGCATTTTTATTTGAGGGAGAAACTTTTCCTTCTTGTTTCAATGTAATAAACCATATTTAATCATTTGTACTTTGCTTGAAGTTTTCTCTTATGCCAAAGAAGACAAGTACCTCCAAAATTTGAACGCTTCTACCAAGGTATTTATATAAACAACTAATATTTGAAATACCATCGATCAATTTTCTATAAAAGCGATTGTGTTAAAGGGTTATATCACGAATTTTAGCCCCTTTTATTAGCTTAATTGAAAATTTGGATTATTTGAAGAACTATGACATGTCGCTGGACTTAAACAGATAAATATAAGTTCCTTAATTTTGCCTCGAAAGTCGGGTACTTTTGCGAATTTTTACGACGCCATATTGATACTTGTGACGTAGATAGTTGAACACGTCTGTTTCCGTCAATATAATATTATATTATAGGAGGTGATTTTGTTGTCGTTTTTCTTGTGTTAAAACAAATAATGACAGTATTTTCAATAAAATATTAAAAAACAAGTTGTCCGGAAAGTATGGCTTCAAATCAGTGCTCAGATAATTCGAATTCGATGTCTGAATGCGTATCTGATTCGAGCTCGGAATCCGTGGGTTATGTCGAGCATTTAAACGACTTCGCATATGACGATGAACCGCTCGCAGGAGATGGTGATGAAGTGCATACTCAGATGATCCCGATGGAATTCTCCTGCGACCTTAGAACAACGAAGTGATGGCGTAATTCCACTCGGTGAATGGTAAGTTGTTGTTTTCTCCTGTTTGTAATATACATAAAGTTACTTTATAAACCAGAATGCTCCACGTTTCAGGTGTAATTGTCAATGCTGTCATACCGATTTGTTAGAAGGCGCATTAGAGTACAGATGCTGTAAGGAAATTGGACCAGCTTTGCAGAAAATGACATTCGATGGCAGCATTGAGAAAATATCATGCATAACACAGCATGCCAAATTTGGGCCTTTAGTTCATGAGGCTGTCCTTGAAAACGTCGGGCCACTATTGAGAGATAGGAATGGATGTGCTTATCGCCGCCAAGCATCACAATCATTAAATATGTAAGATTGTAAATTGTATGAGAAACAATGTTATAATCAACATTGTTTCATCAACAATAATTAGTCCAACCTTTTTATTTACTTCAGGTACTTGAGAGCTGTGGCATACAGATGGTTGATGCGATGGTTTTGTGGGTCTATGGGATGGGAGAATACTTGGCCTTTACCTGCTTGTGTTTACCACTTTATTCGGAAAGCATATCCAAGTGGTAACACAACAGGTTACATACCATCAGAGGGGCGATGATGGAATAGTCTTTTAACTTGTGCACTGTAGAGACTGTTGACCTTCTTTGCTGAGTTTGGAATGGTCAGGAAATATGCCTAGATGAAAACCAAATAGGAGATACATGAATGCACTATATAAGTTGACATGCAGTTTAATGGTTTGAAACAAGAGTAAACAATAAAAACAAATTGGTGCAACTACTGAGAGGTTAAGCTGAAAGAATTAAATGAAAGAATATATTTTCTTCAATGTCAGTCTGGGAAAAAGACAAAAGAAAAATATATGGAATTAAATCATAGCATAAATGTAAAAATGGAAAATAGCAAGCCGTTCAAATGGCGAATCATTTGCTTCCCAGTGCATACTTAAACATGCTCAGCTTCATCACTAGTAGATGGTACTTCCTCATTGAGAGAACATGTTTCCTTCATCGATGGCTTATGGAGTATGTCGAATAATCTACAAAACTTATATCAATTTACATATGACAAAGAAAAATTAACATAAACAAACGTAAACTTACTTGTCTTCGCTTTCGATCGGTTATTTCGTCCTGTAATGGTTCAGGAATCCCAGCCACGTCAATGGTTGGGAAAGCATCTTTCTTCAACCTTGTTTTGAGCTTGACTTGCACGCTCAAATTAAGGTCAAAACAAGAATCTTCAAAATGCGCAGAACACAGACACGAGGTAGAGGAAGCCTCAAAACCCGGTCTATGTTTACGCACAAAATTTACCCATTTTCTATGTATTTGCGGCTCTGTTTCTTTTTTAGGAAACAGATGCATCGACAATCCTTCGGTTTTTGAATCATTGGCGCAACTAATTTGATTATGTCCGCCAGCAACACAGCGTTTTCCTCCGCGTTTCTTATTAAGATTACTAGTCGAATACGCCATGTTGATATATGTGTTCAACTTTCTACGTCACAACTCATTAGCATACCGATCAAAAAGTTCGCAAAAAAAATGCTGAAAATCGTGACTTTGAACGTCCATAAAATCACTTTCACCAATCCAATTTCAATTATAATTGCAGATTTAAAATCACTGAAATAAGGTCTTTCAATTTAGCTAATAAAAAAGGGGGGCTAAAATTCGTGATATAACCCCTTTAAGTAGCGTAGTCAGTTCTCAAGTTTAGTCACGCTATGAAAATTTCGGAACTTTATGATCATTTATTTCTTTGGAAACCTTTTTTGATATGGATATGGTTTCAAATTCCATTCCATTGATGTAGACATAGTTTTAAACTTATGTCATAAGTGATAAATCACTGGAAAATACTAAAAGACATGAATACAAACACAAATCTGTATTTTACTGTACATATTATCAATGCATTATTTGATAATGAAGTGCATTTGAAAACATTTTCTTGTCTACATTCTCAGATATTCAAACTCTAAATATATAGTTTGTTTATCTGTTCTAATTTATCATGTAAAATTTAAAATTTTAAAGATGGCATTCATATCAGTAGCCACTGGTCTGTATTAATATATAATAGTTTGGTGGTAATAAAGTGAATGATTTAAACCTGGGAGTATTGTTACATGTTTGTAGATGTAGATTGTTCAGATTTGTGCAGTCATGAGAAGGATTGTTGTTGTTGATGTTAATTGATGTTTTGTAATTCTTAGTGGTAGTCATCTCCAGAATAAAGTGAGGAGTAAAAGTCAGGTTTTCTGTACTTGTTGTCAGGTTCATACGTCATCATATATTGTGTGTACAGGAAATTTGTCTGTGTGTGAATGTCAATTGTGTATTGTCATCATGGATTAGTCCAAAGTAATGTTTTTAGTTGCTCATTTTTTTCAGGTTATTGCTGCCACCCTGGGGCGTGTACCTAATCATGACATAACTGGACCCAGTCCTTTTGGCACATTTATATAGAGGTGAAATCTTGATTTGTTTCTGTCTGTCGGTTTCATTTTTTGCAGAGGGGGATTTTTACGGAATGAGGGGGAGCTTACAATCATAACAAAGTTGAACCTTTCGAAACATTTGAGATATTTTGTACCTATTTCTACTTTTATTTAAGGTTTGAGAAATTGGAGATAAATTGTCGACATGATTACGATTCTTTACAAAGTTCTTTCAAACATGGTAATCCTCCTCCACGTTATCATTATGAAAACAGAACATTTCATAACGTCAGGTGATTATTATCTTACTGTGTTTATTTTAAACTTTAAAAACCATTGAGTGAATGTATTTTCTCTTTTCTTTTATTTTGAGTGGATTTTGAATAAATTTCGAACTAGAAATAGCGTTTTACATTCTGCTCTTAATGTCAATTGAGATTTCATAATTTGGCGTAATTTCTTTCAGTGTTGGACACTGTGGGGTGGGGTTAGGATAAATAAGGTTTTGATAATACTTAAGGTGAGGGATTTGTTAGGGTGAGGAAGAAGGAGAAGAGTCATGGTGATTGTGTGCAACGCTTTCTCACCTATCTAAACCCTGTGCAATCCTTTCTCACCTATGTATTTAAACCCTACAGTACGGACCTCGAGTATCATGACTTAACTCGTGAGTATCGAATGGCGAGTCAATTGCGAGTCTCTCTCGAGTGTGAGAAGTTTGCGAGTGAATCGAAATATCTTGCAAAGATTTTTTTCTCCAGTATTTGAAATTGACAAACATAATCTTAAGTGTATTGACAAGTAAAATCACACCATCTCATTCATTTTTGTCGACGTAAAGTCAATGAAATTGTCTCAGAAACCATTCTCATATTTGAAACATTTCTACAGGCAAGTGAATCGCAAAAGTTCTGGCCATTTACTATACACGTGGTCTTATATCGTTCTTGCTATTAAATGTCTATGGCTTTTATATCAATAGCGACTACATCCAAAACTCCAGGTCAACGAAGTTCTTTCAGAACCGAATTCAAAAGATTATACGTACACTCATCGCATAGCTACATTTCTTAAATATTTGGCTTTAAAGAATATTCGTTTTTTGAATGCGTTCTTTCCTAAGATTATATATGTCCATAATATAAGACTGTTAGAAGAAAATGTTTGAGCGCTATTTCAATTTACTCATTGATTGCGTGACATTTACTTTACATTTCTCTATGGTCTCTACCGCTTTACAAATAACGTTTGTGCCATGAAAAATGTGAAATGATTAAAATGCTTTTGTAAAAAATTCAAAAGATTTTAACGTCGTTAGGTCCCGAGATATTGCTTCAAATGAATAGTCGTTTTGCTCCCATGTTTCATAAAAAGATATAAAACCGTTGCCTTCAAAATGTTCAACGAATTTTACTTGTCACTACACTTAAGATTATGTTTGTCAATTTCAAATACTGGAGAAAAAAATTTTTACGAGTTATTTAAATTCACTAGCAAACTTCTCACATTCGAGAGTAACTCGCAACTGCATCGCGTGTCACTCGCTCAATCGCAACTCGTCACTCTCGAGTGACTTGCAAATGCATCGCGTGTCACTCACTCAATCGCAACTCGTCACTCTCGAGTGACTCGCAACTGCATCGCGTGTCACTCGCCATTCGACACCCGCGAGACAAGTCATGCTACTTTTTGTAACCCTTTCTCACCTATCTAAACCCTGTGCAACCCTTTCTCACCTATCTAAACCCTGTGTAACTCTTTCTTACCTACTTAAACCATTAACACCCCAACATTAAGTTCACAAATAATAATGTTCTAACATTTGGTTAGAGTGACTAAATTCGAAGACTGACTACGCTACTGTATGTAAGGTTAGTTTTATTTGTTGCTTTTACTGCAGTAATTTCACAAACACCTTTAACTAACAAACACTAACATAATTATTTTATGTTTATTTTATTTTCAACCTGACAGATCGAATACAGATTTGGGTGACCAGGATTGTGAATTAAGAATCGTCAAATGCATCAATATTTCACTTCCTTCAGGTAAATATGTCTTTTCTTCTTTATTGTTGAATTGGATTAAAATCTTTGTGCTTAAGGATTTAGGATAAAATATAGTGGAATTATAAGGTGTCTAGAGGATTAATAAGGTGTCTAGAGGATTAATAAGTGTCAGGTCAAACAATGGATGTTTGATCTGATACATACATCTATAAACCTTAAAAATCAATCTTTAAAAAATTTCAATATACTTCAAGGTTACAACAAAGACGATATGAAAGTGTATGTGTCCTATGAATTTCCCTTTCCAAACGTAAGTTGGTTTATGATTCATTTAAGAAATAGAAGATGTTTACTGTGTTTGCACAGGCTTATGCAAACCAAGTAGACCTTTGAGAGCTGATCAGTGCAAGCCTGAGACCGAAGGTCGAGGGTTGCAGAAGCTCGAGCGCTTTCACAAACGTCTCCTAGGTTTGCATATGCCTGTGTTTACACGGAAAACATCTTTTATTTCTTTTATAAAATAATAATAACGCGAGAAAGACAAACATTTTAATTTTTCCTCAAAAGTGATCAGTTTGCAAATTCTTTTTGACTGATTGATTGTTTTGATTGATTTGATTGGTTGAGCTCAGATGTGTTTTGCACAGGTTAATGCAAACACGGCTCTAGACCAATCAGCGCACTTGTTTCATTGTGTTTATTTTATAAAAAAAATCACATTCACACTACAATGATTCACCAACATGACTGTGAATTGACATATTTGTATGATTAGACTCAACGCAAGAGCGTGCAATTGTGACAAACAATAGAAGCATTGTTAACAATTTTGTTAGACAATAAAATCATTGTTCAAGCAGTTGTTCTCATTACCGTTGAACAAATTCTATGTTTTGCAAACGACAGATTTTGCTCATGTAACAAACACTTTCTGACTTTTTCTTAAATCAATGTTATTTGTCTACACTAAATTTTAAAAATACTCAACTTTAGGATCAACCTCAAACTGGCTTCACGGAAACCATCAAACACAACATTAATCCTGGTAAGTTTTATTTGATATCGTACAGCCTTGGAGTGGGGACTGGGGAGGAGTTGCTTTACTATGGACATTGAACTAAAATACGTAGAACGCTACCTCAAGCAAATAATTGAAGCCATATCTTACGCCAGACACGCGAGATTTTACCCTAGACACGCGTGTTTAGTGTTTCGAGCTTCTCTCGCGGAGTAATAATTGATTGACTACACACGCGTGTCTGGGGTAAAATTTGGCTTCAAAAAATTATTAGGGTTTTGTATTACAGGTAGCGTTCCATGTATTTTAGTGCAATGCTATAGACAGAATGGTCGTCTTACTTAAGTACTCATGACGTCATTAATATCCTATGTTGTTGTTATTGGAGTGGCAATGGGGACTGGGGAGGAGTATTTTTACAAGAGACAGAATGGTCGTTTTACTTCAGTTCTTGAGACGTCAATAATATCGAATGTTGTGGTTGTAAGCTTTTTGATATGCTAGAACCTTCCCCCCTCATTAAATTCATTATTCTACATCGATGATCAATTACGCTGTTTTTTCGTATAGAATTTGATTAAAAGTTTAAGATATCTATCGACAAAAAAAAACGATCGTTGGCGAGAATATTTCGACGACAAAGTGTGAAATTTGAAATAAAATACAACAGGTTTGTCGTACGTGAGATGGATGTTTCATTGTTTTACATTATGTGAAATATTTTTTATCGTCAGTAAATGTTCAAACCATTTAGAGGATTTCTGAAAGGTGACAAGACGCTGGGTCAAGCTTCTCTTAAGTTATCACCGTTTGATAATAGATGTGAAATTCACGAATGTCTTAATGTAAGTAATGTGTGGTATTTTTTTGAACTTTATGAATTTATAATTGCAGAAACTGTGTTTAAATCATTGAACTATATATAACTGGACGGCCATCCACCCAGAATAAGCTAGAGGATCCATACTTCAAAAAATTTGTCATTATTGCTATCCTTATCTATCCACAATACTTACTCATATCCAATCCTGCAAGTTCCCATGTGTCTTTTCACCAGAATCCTTTATCCCTCCATATGTCTATGTAGGTCATGTATTCATCTTATATAAAGTTCTATATTTCATATTCTTTGTTCTTAGAAACTCATTGCTTATGGTCATATTGTTGGTGATACACCAGACTCCATTGAACCAGAGAGGCGTTTAATTGACAGAATTATCGAGACTATTTGTAGTTGCTTTACTGGTATAATTACTGATGTAAACGTTCAAATACAAATTATAAAGATATTTATAAAAGTAATGTCAAACTGTTAAAGTATTTAATGAGGGAAATGACGTATCCTTGAGGAATTTAAAGAGGGTAACGACATATGTATCCCTATGTTTTTTACATTTTTTGTCTAATTTTTTATTATTTTTAATATTACGTCACCTACACCAGATATAACATAAATTTCACAAAAAATATTCTCGTACTATATTGAACTTGCAGGAACGATGTCCTTTCAAGGGAAAGAGCTATTTTTTATATAGATATAAGAAAAAATATGCTAGGAAGACAATTTGATCTTTTATAAAAACAGAACATTAATTTAATTTTCAAAGCCTTTATCAAACTTTCTATTTTATGAAGTTATTATAAATTACTTACAAAAATCATCACAGAAAAGAGTATCCAACCATGTATCAAAACCGTATGAGGTACATACCCATATTTTTCAAGAAGTTTAATGAAGTTAATCATTTATTGAATCTAAAAGTTTTTTCAAATTTTCGTAGATTCTTTACAATACGACAATAAGAAATTGAAGGTCTGTTATGGCGATCGGTGCTTAGTACCTATTACATCAATACATCTCTTGATCTTTGACCTTGGAATTTCGGAAAAATAATTTGACCATTTCCATTTGGACAATTTTTGGTTTTTATTCTCCTCAAATTTTTTTTTAAATTTATACTGGAGCCTGTTGCACGAAGCGTGGATAGCGTTATCCATTGGATAGTAGTTTTTTAAATTTATACTGTAGTCTGTTGCACGAAGCGTGGATAGCGTTATCCATTGGATAGTAGTTTTTTAAATTTATACTGTAGTCTGTTGCACGAAGCGTGGATAGCGTTATCCATTGGATAGTAGTTTTTTAAATTTATACTGGAGCCTGTTGCACGAAGCGTGGATAGCGTTATCCATTGGATAGTAGTTTTTTAAATTTATACTGGAGCCTGTTGCACGAAGCGTGGATAGCGTTATCCATTGGATAGTAGTTTTTTAAATTTATACTGTAGTCTGTTGCATGAAGCGTGGATAGCGTTATCCATTGGATAGTAGTTTTTTAAATTTATACTGGAGCCTGTTGCATGAAGCGTGGATAGCGTTATCCATTGGATAGTAGTTTTTTAAATTTGTGAATGTGCATGGTTATATTTTGTTTATGATGATGAAACTTTGTAATTCTAGAACCAATATTGTATTTCATTTATTGTCCAGTTCGAATCGTTGATTTTTCCCTTTTATGACATTTTTGAAGCGCTCAAAAACGTTGCTACTCAGTTCAATGGATAGCGTTATTCGACCTTCGTGCAACTGATCTCTTCTCTGGTAATTTATTGGTAAAGTCTCTGCAAAAATATAAATCTGGTGAGAACCATATATGAACAATGAACATGATTATTGTTTACTTTTCAGCTGTATCCAGTTACAAGCTGTGAATCAGAATGATCTCGTGATGAGCCCATCCCTTACATTTCAATGATGTGTACATTACAATACGAAGAAAGACAAAATTGAAGAAATATTTCAATATAACACTGTGACTCTACGTTGTGGAACGAAATAATAAGTGTGGGAAAGAAGAAATAGTCGCTTTGATCATATTTGGTGAGTAAAATTGTGTAAAACATTGATTTTAAAGCCGTATTGTTTAGCTACTCGTTGTATTGTATCAAAGGTTTGACTAAATGGCAGAATACTCGTTCACTTGGATTCATTGACTGTGCATCCACATTTTCAGTAGATACACAGATGATATTATGCCGTATATAAGATGATTCTAACTTCTGAGAAAAGAAAAATCAACTTAAAACGAAACTATAAGATAAATAGCGCTACACCTATTGGACAATACGATAATATATATTTATGCTTAGTATATCAAATTGCGTTTCGTCATATAAACACAAGTGATCTGTTTACCTATCAAAACGACTATATTTTAATATTTAAATCAAGCACGAACGATTTGCGTCAATTATACATTACCACATTGATAGATAATTATAGATTTATAGTGCCATTGTCGTACAACCTAAGATTTCTGTTGTGTGGGATGCTAAATCACGATTCTTTTGACGACAAACGTTGGTTCATTACCACGAGTATTAAAATCAAAAAATGCTTATCCAATTCGTCTCTTCAAGACTTCAACTCAATGCGTTACAATGCATTAATCAAATGCGTCGATAAAATGCGACCATCAAAATGCGTATTGAAACAACCGGAAACAGCGTTTGCAGCCTCTATATATACTAAACATTCAACAATATAAAATTACAAAGTTTCCTCTTTGCCACGATTGGAAAGAAGGTCTTCCTCAGCAACTCAATGCTTTAAACTTACCATGACAAATGCATGTGCGTAATTTAACGTAAATAGTTCCCATTTTACCATGCTCTTACTTCTTTAGTAATGTTCATGCTTACAGAAAGAGAAAGACAATTCACTTGTTTTGATTATTTATGAAAATTTCTTCCCGTATACTATTTTGTACTGATAAGTTTTACATCGTCCATATTATTATTGATAAATCGATAAAATTTACGACAAGCCGGGTCACGTTGCAAGAAAAACTGTCTGTTGCTCATTTCTTTTGCTGTTTTTCAGTTTTTCCAATTTTTATGAGCACAAAACGGTTATAGCCACAAAGAATTCAACATAATTTATGTATTTTTTAAATGATCCTTTTATTCGTTTGAAAATGACAGACTCAAGTAGTATCAACTATTGTCTGACTATAGCTGCTGATCTTTGGTTTGGAAACTCAAACTGTGACAAAAAATGGCCATTTGAATCGAAATTTGGATACATTTTGGCCTATTTTCTATTTTAATAATTTTTCGGAATCATATTGGTAATTTATTATAAAAGTCTATGTCAAAAACATAAATCTGTTGAGAACCATGTATGGACAATGAACATGATTATTGTCTACATTTCAGCTGTATCCAGTTACAAGTGCGGAAGTGAATCAGAATGATCTCGTGATGAGCCCATCCCTTGCATTTGAATGATGTGTACATTACAATAGGATTAAAGACAAAATTGAAGAAATATTTCAATATAAAACTGTGACGCTACGTTGTGAAACGAAAAAATAAGTGTGGGAATGAAGAAATAGTCGTTTTGGTCATATTTGGTGAGTAAAATTGTGTAAAACATTGATTTTAAAGCCGTATTGTTTAGCTACTCGTTGTATTGTATCAAAGGTTTGACTAAATGGCAGAATACTCGTTCACTTGGATTCATTGACTGTGCATCCACATTTTCAGTAGATACACAGATACACATTTAAGGTTTGACTAAATGGCAGAATACTCGTCTACTTGGATTCATTGACTGTTCATCCATATTTTCAGTAGATACACAGATACACAAAGCATATATTATACTATATTTAATTCATTACAAGATGATTCTAACTTCCGAGAAAATAAAAATGAGCGTTAAACGAAACTATAAAGGCTGAAACACACTAGGCAGTCGCTTCAGTCTCTCGTCTAAAACTACCGCTTTGCGTGGTTACTAAGCTAGAAGCGTAGTCGCGTCATCTAGTCGCTTTGAAAGTTCAACATGTTGAACTTTTGACGTTAGTCGCTTTAGTCGCTTAACACTGATTGGCCAATAGATACATTTTAATTTCCTAAATTCATATCATATTCCCTGCCATAAGCAACATACGGAATTTATAGATTATGCCTTGGAAAACGAAGGCAATATATAGTGAATTCACACTGGAATCTTTCAGTTTTTATATTACTTATCAAATAGGGACAATAGGAGCTACAAACTGGAACCCTAATGCACAACCTAAATGCACAGAATAAGATTGTCCATGATATACGCGTAATGGGCTATGATCATATTGGCGTGTTTTAACTGGCTTGTTCTCTTTTCTCCACACAGTAGTTTGTACTGAGTAAATATTCATATATTAGTAGCTATAATAAAGGCCAAAATAAAAAGTTTAAGTTATGTCTGTGTGTGTAACAAACAGAAATCTTCGCCATGTTCAATAGACGCCACGGTAAAAGTCGCGATGGTCGTTACATGTGTGTTTCTGGCTTTCAAGCGACTGACGCGTGCGCATCAATTCGCTTTGGAGGCGCGACTGAAGCAACTGCTTAAGGCCAATTTATACTTCTTACGACATGTGTCGCGCGACACTCTGGCTTGTGCAATCTATGGGCACGCGCCATCCGACAATCAAGTAAAGCATTTATAGTAAACGCGACAACCGCGCAAAATCTGCATACAAATTCAAAATTATGTTGACATTTACATCAAGTAGTGCATTGGCAGCATTGTTAAAATTCTTTGTGAATCAAATGAATTCATT